TCCTGAAACCAACCGTGGATCCACCTGACATTTGTTCTATCCAGCCCACAGCTACTTAACTTGCTAATCAGAATATCACGGGGCAATTCAACAAAGGCTTTGCTGAAATCAAGATATATTACATCTACAGTAACCCCACAATCTACCAGGGAAGTTACCTGATCATAAAACTGAGATTGGATCACTCTGGTAGGATTTGTTTTTGACAAATCCATTTTGGCTTCTAGTTGTTACTGCATTGTTTTCAAGGTGCTGGAATACTGGCCGCTGTATAATCTGCTGCAGGCTGGTTTGTAGTTTCCAGGTTCCTCCTTTCTGCCCTTTTTGAAGATGCTAAAACAGACCCATATTTGATTTGACTTAAAGTAGCATTGTAGGTTCTCAGATATTATCACCCTTTGGTAAAACACCTTCAAACCGTACAGGGATATGAACCGATTATGACTCTGTCTGTCAGCAGGTGAAACAATATATTCAAGGGAAAAGGAAATCAGATAGTCCCGTATCATAAGACTTCAGCTGCTCTTTGATTTCGCCTTCTGTTTTCACAGTTCTGCATCTAAGCTTGTTTAGAAGAAGATGCTGCGCCCACTGACTGTGCCAGTTGAGTAGGTTAGCTGCCTTCCCGTGCCAGATAGCCTGGAAACCAAAAGAACCCACTCCGTTCAGAAATCAAGCAGGTCACTCGGAGATTCACATCTGGAGCAAGCAGAATGGTGGGGAGAAACTGGCACAAATCTGTTGGAAGTTGGATTGGTTCCAGTTCCACCAGCTGGTGAGCTGGGATTTCCCTTCACCACAGCCCCCGCTTGCTGAAGTGAGAAGGTGCGGCATGGCGGGGGGGCACACACTGTTGCCTCTTTGCACGTACCTACCTACATGCCACAAAACAAGCCGATCTCATTAAAGCCACAAATATGAGATTGGTGCGGTGGCTTTGACAGTTTTCGATCTGCAAGAAGATGCTATTCCTCTCTACACTGCGACAATACCCACCTTATTAGACAGCCGGCAGAAAATGAGGCGACAAGCGGATGTCTTCATTAGCCAGCTGTGCCTGCCGGAGTGTGTTAATTTGATCAAGAGATAATCAAGGTCGCCCGAGCACGGCAGGGGGAAAAAATGAAAAAGGAGTCTCACCCGAAAAGGCTGGTTCTGCACAGCCCTGCAGGGAGAATCCCTGTTGAGCCTTCCAGAGTTTGTTGCAGGCAAGGAAAGAGACTTGGGTTTTTAAAGAAATTCTTCCTGTGCATGCCAGAAATGGAAAAAAATGAATTAAAAAAATCTCAAGGCAAGAAATGGCCTTGCTAGCATTTTATGGGATGGGGAAGTAACAATAAAAAGAGGAAAAACTATCCCTGCAAAGTATCTTTGGGCAGACCTGATTTAGGGGCAGCTTTTTTGTCCTGGAGGTTAATCATCAAATTCAGAAGAGAATATCCAGCTACCTGCTTGAGCGCAGGTGAAAGCAAAGCAAGAGTACACCCCAGGGAGAGTGCTTGCTGTTTTGACATACCTTTGCAGCATCCCTGACATGAAGAGTCGGGTTGCCCTGCAGTCTCAGAAGGGGATAGAAACCTCCCTTTCTTGGGGACCAGCTCAAAGGCCAGAGGAAGATGCAAGCTGCCAAGTTCTTCATGACTATCCCTCAAGAGAGAGGATGAGGGGAGATGAGTCTTTGGAAGGAGGACCTTTCCATTCCTTCCTTCACCCCACAACTGTCTTGTCCAGCTTAGCCTGCTTCATTCACCCTTCTATGGTATTCTGGTTGGTACAGCTGACTCTGGCAACCGAGCACTAATGTGATGCATGAACCAGGGAGGGGGAAGAAACTCAGGGGGGAGTAAAAGTCATAGCGTGATGGCAGAACATGTGCTTTGTATGAAGGGGCTGGAGTCAACTTCCCTGCCCCAAGGGGGAAAATATACCACATCTCCGAGCAAGAAGAAGCCAAGAGCAGGTGACTGGAAAGAACACTTTGCTGCTTGTCTCTTCAGACCCTGGATGGCCCCTCCCACTCAAGACTGAAAAGACTCGGCTAAAGAGGGACCAGTTGGGTCTGGAAGAAAGTGACTTCTGATGTTCTTACAGGAATTAGCTTGCTGTGCTCTGTGTTCCAGAATGGAGCATGTGATCCCTGCCGTGCAGAAACAAATTGCAGGGGGGGAACCTTGCAGGAGGAATCATTTGCTCTTATTCTAAGGAGAATCAACCCCTCTCCTTGAAGGGGGTCCAGCCTACGTTTCTAGTGGAAAACCCTAACTGTGTTCCAGTTTTAATTATTTCATTCTCATTCCCTATTACCTGATAAATACATCAAGCCATGATCTGCAGAAGCCAATGTGAGAGGCGTTTCTTTTCTGGGCTAATAGGGCCAGCAGTGCTTGTTCGCTTCCACATAAAAGCTCTCTTTATCCCCGAAAGTAGCCGAAGGAATCTGAGAACTTCCTGATCTGAGCTGGAGCAGCTGTTCCCCTTCCATCGCGGGAGTGACTTGTGCTTCTTAGCTGCACAACATGACTTTCTGGGGGCGGGAGTGGTTTCAAGTAAAAGAACTGTTGAACACTACCTGAGGAGGAGGAGGAAGAAGAGGAATAAACAACATACAAGGAAGGGAGGAATCTCCCAAACACTTCTTGCTAAAAGAGCCATTCAAAGGACCAGAAAGCTATTTGCCCATTTTAGAATAGGTACATCAAGAGACACAGCTGTGGGCTGGGACTCAGGAAATTAAAGGTTCTAGTCCCTGCCAAAGCATGAAACTTGCTGGCGGCTTGATCATTCATTCATTCTCCCTCTCTCTCTCTCTCTCTCTCTCTCTCAGGGCTGTATATAATATAAAACAGAGGGAGAAGAGCAATGTATGTTGTTTTTGGAGAAGCTCATTGGAGAAGGGAAAGCAAGAAATACATTGTCCTTGCAAAAATTACTAGATTACCAATTTGAGATAAATTCACCTTATTTCTCACCTTGTATTCTTTCAGTGGGCTCAAGTGGGGGAACGCAGTTTCCCTCCTTCACTGTCACAACAAGCTGGCAAGGTAGGAAAGAGAGGAAGAGGGAGAGAGACAGAGAGACTGGTCCAGAACAACCAGGGAATGTCAGGGCTCGCTGGGGACTAAACAGCCAGTCTTCCAAATCTAAGCCAGACACTCGAACCGCTACAGCCCACTGCTGTTGGACAGCAACTCCTCTCGTTTTGAGCCAGCCCAGTCAACGATGGGGGGGGGTGGAAGGGAATTTTAGTCTGGCAGCATCAGCAGGGCCCTTAAGTCACCTGCTTCAGCGACAAACCTATAGATATTGCAATGAATGTTCCTATACTGTGTTTAAATCATGGCACTCTTTGCTATGACTTTTGTAATGACATGCAGGTTTGTGCAAATAAACTGGAACTGAAAAAGGTCTGAAGAGAAGACTGTGGGTTTTAATGCCTTCCCCTCTTCTCTTTTTCTCATACCAAATGGACCCAAATTGGGAAACCACAAGAATGAGACTGGGGGGGGTGGGGAGAGAGAAGTAAGGCAGCATTATTTGGAGCATAATGTTACCTTACTTTTAGAAAGAAAAGAAAAGAAAAGAAAAGAAAAGAAAGAAAGAAAGAAAGAAAGAAAGAAAGAAAGAAAGAAAGAAAGAAAGAAAGAAAGAAAGAAAGAAAGAAAGAAAGAAAGTGTTACATGCATTTAATGTCTAATTAGGGGGGGGGAAGCTACGGAAATTGTATACAACCAATAATACTCCTTCTCTGACAGAAGCGGCTGAGATGGCCTATTTCAAGGTTGAGTTGCTGAGAATATAATTGAAAGGCGAAAATGGAAATGAAATGGGAGTTATCAAGAAATCGGATTTAGGATGGATTTAACTGGCTGATAAAACCTCACACTTGCTAGGGCGGGAATTCAATCTGGAGGGCCCTGATTTTCAACTCATTCTCTCTCCTTCCATTACTGCCCTTTCTCATTCTGCCTAAATCCATCCAGACACTGTATTCCTCCCTACATCTTCTGTTAAGCAGCTTCACCAGGTCTGTGACAGCTGCTGTCCCCAGGTCAAAGCCTCCCATATACCTGAACATGCCTGGAAAAAAAAATATCTATTATATGGGAGAGAGAGAGAGAGAGAGAGTAGGCTGGGAGAGAAAAGAGACAAATATTTAGGGGTCATCCAAACAGGGCATTTGTAAATCTGGTTACCACTGCCTCTCCTTTCAGAAGTTCCCGGGACTGACCGGTGTTTATCCAGAGTTGCGTCCTGATGGTGAGTGATCTATCCCTGAGCGGCTTCTCTGCTTCAACATCCTTAGAGGGGCAACCACAATCCCCCGAAGTTAATCTGCCTGCCTCTCTCATGCTTTCTGTCTTCCTTGTGTTTGGTTCTTTTCAGCATCACTCTAAAAAAAGTGAAGAAAACACTTAAAAAAGTGTTCTTTCTGGAACCAGCTTCATGGCTTCCATGCACTGTTACCTCTGTGCTACTGCCACCGCCTCCTCCTTCTCCTCCTCTTCCTCCTAGTTTGATTTATATACAGCACATGTGATGTAGAATTTTAATTGCTGGACTAAGGGCACCTGTCACGGACCCTTAGTCAGACCCACCTAACAGGGCTGGTGTAAGGACAAGAAAGGGAAGCCAGGAGCCAAGTTCAATAAGCCTTCAGCTTACTGGAGGGAAGCTAGGATATTTTATCAAACATTGGAAAGAAATAAAATGACTTTCTCCTGCTTTTTTGTTTGTTTATAAACAGTCCTGACATGATTTGAGACACTAGAGGTGGAATATTTAAAATACGTAAACACCATGAACCCCCAACATCCTCAGGGATCCCCAGGGTGGAAGTTATTTCCTCTTTCAGATTCATCCACTCCAACCTGGCCAAAAACTTTCTGCGCCATCTCACAGTGGGACCAAACAGGACACTTGCTTTGCAGGATTCTAATCCAGGCCCACTGCGAACGATGACAACAGCTGTCAAGATGTCAGGGACGCCGAGGCGCGTGGGTTTCCAACCACTTTTATTTCAGTATCAGAAGATGCACCCAATATATACATATTTTATTTACACCATGTAATAATGTACATAAAGTTTAATATATATAATATATACACACACACACACATATTCACACATTGATACACAAACCTTTTATGACTCTTTTTTGGGGCATAAAAACCTTCCAGCTACTCCGAAACCTGCAGAGGTCACACCAATTCCTATGCCATTTGGCAAGTTTTTATTCTTATTCTTATTCCTCCCCCTCCCCGGCCGCAAAAAGACACACAAGACTTGCTTCCCAAGGTAGAAAACAAAAAGGCTAGACAACACCAAGGTGAAGGTGAGCCTTAAAAAGGACCGTGCCATGAACAGCACCCACGAGAGAGAGTCCAAGAGGGAGAAAAGGGACGTTAAAAGCCTGAAGGCCTCTTGAACAAGAACAGGCAAGTCAGTTTCCCAACGAGACCAAGGGACGGCAAGACATCGGAAGGGGCAGTCGCTGTGCCAGGCGGCCAAATCTACCACGGTGAGGTCCTTCCTTCACCTTCGTCAGGAGAAGAAGGAAGGAAGGAGGGAAGGGAAGAAGGATGGTGTCATAACATCAAGGGTACCTGCCACATGAGTAACGTGCTGTCCGTCTCACTGCTGGAGGGCAGTTTGCCGTTCGGGTGGAAGTTCCGGTAACCTCTCCCTCCAGAGATGACAGCCAAGGAAGAGATCTCTTTGCGGGGAGCCTCCCGGGAACAGGGCCGGCTCCGTACCCAGATGTCTGGGTCATCAGCCATTTCGTAGATGGAGCCGTCTTCCTCCGTGTGCTCCAAGGTGGTCCCGCCGGTGGCGGAAGGGGCTTCCCGCACAGAGAGCCGTTGCCCAGGGAGGTGGTCAGTGGATCGGAGGCGGTACTGCAAGAGGATCCCCTTCTTCCTCATCTCCCTCGTCGGGGGGCTTTCCTGGGCACCGGAGTCTGAGGAGGACCTGCCCTCGGGCTTCCCCTCCGTGGCAGTGGGGGGCTCAGCGGCTGGGTCCTCTTCCTTGTCACTCTTCAAGATATCCGGGGCCAGGGTGCTGAGGGCGACAGCCAGGAATTCCACAGGGCCACAGTGACCGTTCAGGGAAACCATACCTTTTCCTGAACAATGGAAAGAAGGATGCAGAAGGACTTTTTATTTATGAGGACATTAAACATGTACTGGAAAAGGTATCTTCCTGGAGTCCAGTTCTCCCCCAACCATGCTCTGCACCTCATCTCTCAGCATCCAGGGTCACAGGAAGGCTGTAACCTTTAAGGCTGGGGCTAGGACAGATTTGAGAAGAAAAGAAATACAGCTTGTCCTAGTGAAACTTTGAAAGCTCCAGAGTGAGTTGATCAGTTTCCAGTTAGACAGACCACAAAGCTAGTCCTCATGGAAGGAAGAAACATCCTGATATTCTGCTAGATGTTAAGACTGAGCTGTGAAATCAAAGGCCCTGTAGGGAGAAATCAGGGCAGCAATGTTCAGCTGGCTACAATGAGATTAGTCCACCAAATGTACAATCTTCATTATTCCTAATTTCTAATCATTAGTTTAAATCCATATAGCTTTATATCACTCAGAAGGTAGGGTGAAGGTATTCTGGGTTGGTTCTCAGCATCTCCATGACAAGAGTTATACCAGGCTGATCTCCTTTGACCTGCCGGGCCTCTCTGCTACAGGATCCTAGGACTCAGACTAGCTTGGTGAGGGATGAGAAGACTTTGTAACCTTTTCTTACAGGGGATCCAAAATCCCCCACCAAACTACAGATCCCAGGATACAGACAGGGCAGTGCAATACATGGTTGTATTTAGCCATGTGAAGTGCTTTCAGTGTCTCGGAGAGCCATCCTCTTCTCGTCCTAACCCTACCCTTGTCTTGCACACATGCTCAAGGGCATCAGTGTTACACAGCACGAGGTGACTCACCTGTGATCTTGGGAATCCCCTCCAGCCTGGGCACAGGTAAGAGAACCAAAATGCCTTGATCGGTGCCCACCCACAGGAGGCCTTGGCAAATCAGAAGGCTAGTGACACGAACGTGCTTCTGCCCTGTGGGGAGAAAGAGAGGACAACTCAGTGGCCAGAGCAGACGCTCTTGTCCCTTTGGAGGCCCACCTAGTCCTAAAGGGAGACTCTCTTCCAAAATCCCCAGCACCTTCCGGTCTACATGTCTTCCATCCTGATTGGGCAGCCGGGGCAGAGCAAAGAAGCATCGCTCAAGAAAGAAGCAACACGTTGTTTCCACCTTACATCTCAGATCATCTTTGTGGGAATAGAAAACATCAAAGCCTCCCCATGTCTCTCTCTCTCTTTTTTTTCTTCTTCAAACAACAACTCCTAGAAGCCTTGACCTGCAGGATCAATCTTAGGAGGTGTCCTCACACAAAAGAACCTTCTAAAACTCTCTTGACAAAAGGAGGGTGAAATCCCTCCCATCTGCAGATAGGAACTTTAAGGCCCATCCATTGACATCTCTAGAGAGACTGTTGTTGTTTTTGTTGCTGTTGTTGTTGTTGTTGTCGTCCTCGTCCTCATGGTCATTGTGGCACAGCTGCCTGCCTCCCAATGGCCAAGAAGAAAGGAGGGGAAAAACCATTGGGTTGAAAGACTTTTCAGGCAAGAAAATGGTTTGACCACCTGTGCCACATCCCTGAATCCACGCCTGGTCTCTCTATTGCTCCTGCAGCTACTTGTCAGAACTTGGAAGAGAGAGGGGCAGTAAATGCAGGGAATAGGTATGCGGTGTCCTGGGGAGAGCAGCAGACCACAATGCGGGAGAGCCAGGAGGTTCAACCCCCCCCCTCCACAAGGAATGTCACTTCCTGGATGACCCTGAGCCGGTCACTCTCTGTCTCTAAGCTCACCCTACCCCACATGGCTGTGACTGCCGGAATAATGTGGAAAACAGATATACACCACCTTCAGCCTGCTGGAAGAAAGGTACAATATAAATAAATATGCACAGGATTAACTGAATCAACGGTACCCAAAGCCCCCGGTGTAGCATCACAAAGGCAGCATCTCCGTCAGCTGCCCAGAATGAAGGTGGTGGTGGGGAATGGGGTGGAATCCAGTATAGCCGCCTTCTAGGATGGAGGAGTCCCCAACCAAGGCACCCAAGGGGAGACCACGTGATGTCAGTGGGGCCTTACAGTGAGAGCGCTGGATTAGGATTTGGGATGCTCATCCCCAAAGAGCCATGAAACCCACTGAGTGGTCTAAGGATAAATGCCAAGGTCAAGCAGGTAAGGCTGGCAGAGGGAGGCCCTCGCTTTGCAAAGCTAGCAACGACTCCATTCCAGAAGCTTCAGGCTTTTATTTTATTTTATTTTTTTACATTCCACATGCATGGTTGCCCCTGCCTCATTGAACGAGAACACGCCGTTGTCTTCGCTCCACGTGGACGACGCAACGGGTAACTCACCGCTGTGAATTAACATGTTTTCGGTGTCAGACGAGATTAGCTCTCTCAGCCTGATCATGTCTTCCTGGGTTTAGCCAGAGAGGCAGCAAACACAGGAAGGGAGGCCAGCTGGGCAGAGACATCCCCCCCCTCTTTTTTTGGCATAGGCAGGGATAAAAAAAGACAGCGAGAATACAGGGGTGGGGGGGAAGGGGGGACTATAAGAAAAATGCACTTGGCAGAGAAGTCTTGGGTTGATCAAGCAAATACTAGCCTTTGCTCAGTTTTATGTAGATATTTTATCCACAGGTGATGGGGGAGGCAAATAGCTTTGCCCCAAGCGGCTCATATTAATAATAAAACAGAGGCAGGTTCTGCCTTCAGGCTTGCAAATGAGGAAAGCAAAGCCCACATGGGGAAAGGGAGACTGAAGGGCAGAGAAATTTGGAGAAACTGAGCAGCAGGTACATTTTAAATAAACCATTTACATGCAGTGTGAACTAAGTAGAGTTCCCCTGGCCAGAACTTCACACAGGTCCAGTCACCCGACAACTCTCTTTCCAGCCTTTTCTGCAGCCACAGAGCACAGAGAGGGGCCAGAACTCTGGGTGGCCGATAACATTTGCCAGATCGGTCAGTTTCCACGAGAAAGGAGCTTTTTGTGCACCACTTGGGACTGATTGGAGGAAGAAACACAGGTTGCTCTGAGATTTTTTTCCACATTTGAGGGGCTTGTGGGGTGTTTCTGAGATATGTGCCAGACAAGGCGCACCCTTTAAAATTTCAAACCGTTAAAGAGCACACATGCACAAGACAGGTGAAAGAACATGTTGACTGAAGGGGAACCTCATACAATATGAAATTCATAAATAAATGTGCCCATTAGGAAATATGCAGAAAATCTCTCTCTCACACACACACACACACACACAAAGCACACATTTCCATTTCTGTGACTCTGTGTGGGAAAAGGGAAAGCAAAGGCTCACTCCCTGAAAGGGAACACAGGAGGAGAGAAAATGTAACAGAAGAGAGAATGACATTCACACCCCGCAGTGGGGCTCCGTGTCTTTTCTTGGGAGGAGGGTAGGGTCTCCTGTAGCTCATTCAACCTCCTAATGCATGCACACAGTTTCCAAAGCTGGAATTCAGGCCGAAGGAGTTTCCGCTTTACAAAGGGCAGGTCTCTCTTGGGGCCCTTCAGGACCAGGGGGACCCTGCCTGCATCTCCTCCCCAAACCTGCAGAGCTACAACCCATCTGAAACCAGGGCGCTCACTGTTGTGGATGCTGGTCCCGTCCGATTATAAAGAAATATGGTCCTGGCATCGCAAATTCAATTGATGGAATCGTGAAGATGTTTGTACACATAGATCTTATGGCATTTTTATCGACTTCTACAAGGAATCTAATCAGACATTATCAAAAACTGCTATCTCACACAATTACTGGAGGTTATGATATGGCTGGGGAAAAAGTGGTCCATGATGGGAGAACAAGAAAATACTGTATTATGTGAATATATTTTAGCTAAATTGACTCTCTGTGGAGAGCAGGGCATGCTGGAATTGGTTTAATGAAAAATGCCCATTTTTTGTTGTTTATTAGAAAAGTTTTTTTTTTCAGCAAAACAACGTGCACCAAAAAACAGAACACAGTTTACAGCTGCAACCATGTAATCGAGTTGGAAAATTTTATAATAAAAATGCATATGAGGGCTGCCCCTGCAAAACCTAGTTGGTCGGAGGCTAAAGCAGAGCAGACAGAGAGTGTGAATGTGCTCAGGCACTCCCCGGTGTTCTGAGTCCCCAATAAAACATAACAGCAGGTACACTGGGGGAGAGGTTTGGGTCAAAGCGGAGAGCCTTTTCTAAATCACTGCCCACAGAGGATACCAAAATCTTTGAGGAACCCCACCTTGGAAATGGTGTTAGGATTCCCCTCACGGCTCCTGCACACACACACACACTCTCTCTCTCTTTTTCCACTAAGCCTTCTGATGCAGTGGTGCATTTTAATTGCAAATTAGCTCCTGAAAGACCAGGAGAGTTGTGGAGAGAGAAAGAGGGTGGAATGGGGTGGGGGATGAAATTGTCAATAAAATGATGGGGGTGGGGGTGCAAGAAGAGAGCCAAGGGTGCTGGGAGGAAGACGATCAGAGTGTTAACTGGTGAAACAGCAATCTGGTTTTCCTTGAAAGGAGAAGGGTGGCCGTGTACGGTTCTGGAGAGCAGTTTGTTAGGTGGGACCCATGGCCCCTCTGCACTCTCAGCCTGTGTCGTCCCCTAGTCTCTGAGCCAGTTCACACAACCAGCCTGACCCACAGGGGCTGCTGGAACTCTTGATGGCCTCACAACTTCTCATCAGGAGCATTTAGCCACCAGCGGGTCCAGGATTAATCTTTGGTCTCTTGTAGCTACCAGCCTGAGAGTGACCAAAAGTGGGGTGTGTCCTGTGTGGTGGGCAGGCACATGGCAGAGGCTGCACCCAGCAGGAAAGCTTTGTAGGGCTACCTGAAAAGGCCAACCCGAAGGAAGAGAATCGCAGAACTGCCAAGGAGGAAGGGACACCCAGGGGACTCTAATCCTGCCTGAGGCTGGGGCAGAGAATCCACAGCTTGAGGCATCTCAGCTGGAGGGCCACTCTTTCTCATCCAAACAGGGCAGCTCACCATCTAGATGGTGATAGGCATTCGCTATGTGGCCGAGGACAGGCAGGAGGTTGAGGCTGAGCCCATTCTTGGGCTAAAGCAGTGGATTTTATTCTTCACCGACATCCACCAGAGGAGATGAAGTCGGGAAGCATGCAAAGTGGTTTTCTGCCACTGATATTTGTTTTAACCTTGCTCATGTTACTCCTGGCCCTTGCTCTGCTCACATCTCTCCACCAATTTACTTTAAAATCTCAATCTTACCAGACTACTAGATGTGAGTGACTACTTACAATGAAGCAGTTAAAGAGGAAGAACCAGACTATGAACAAATTTCTAGCTGGACATGGAAGGTGGAGGTGGTTGTATCATTACAGGAGGTAGATTGTGGGATGTCATTAAGGAACATCACAGTGCCAATGACTTAGAACTAGTCTTCTATTTTAACTAACTCTGGTATCTAATTAAGGAAACCTTAGCTGATTAGGCTTATGTTTCCATTGATTAAATCTGCATATATTAGCATATGAAAAACATACTTCCTTTGTTTAAAGTTGGAGCCCATACAGACATACAGTACATGAATAACAGCATCCTCTGAAAGCTTGCCTGCATTCTTCAACTTTTGTTGAGGAATTGTAACAAAAATAATTTACAACAAGGGCAGACAAAGGAAAGCTCTTGCTACAAGTCTACAAGTGGTCCCCCTTGAGGTCTTTCTGTTTTGAATCATTTTGCTTAAGCAACTACTTGACCATCATCTAAAGTTCCCAGGGGCACAAGCTGAGGGTTCCTGGACGTGACACAAACACCCTCCAGCCTGGGAAACAGAAGCCCTTGTGCAAGATGCCTTTCATGAAGGCTAGGGAAAAGCCAGGGATTAACAACTCACTCTTACAAGTAATAAGTTCCTCTGACTGTTAACGAGGCCACTAGAAATTAGCAATCTGCTGTCAAAGTTGCTATTTTTAAAACCAACTCCTTGACATTTCTCAAAAGGAACTAGCACAGTTACGTTGACATTTTTAAATAGATATCCTGTTTCTATTGGTCACTTGCATGAGGCACAAGGTAACATGCCCGGCAACAGAGGAGACACATCATCACCTAGTAGTTGAAGCAGGTGATCGTGGTCCCTCAGACCCTTGATCCCAAGGCTGCAAAAAGAAATCCAAAAATATCAGTTACAACAAATAAAGAACAAAGTCCTGTCAAGGGACAATGGTCATGCAACCAGGTAAATGCAAAAAAAGAGAGGAATTAATTACAAGTCACACAAATTTAATACAGGTTTGTTACATCCCAACGTAAGTGGCAACAAAAAAGGCTCAGAAAGACCCCCTTTTTTGTCTTCAAAGAAATAAAAGAGGGAAAGGGAGGGAGTCTAATGGCAAATAAATATTTTATCGATGAGACTTGAAGCTGTAACGTCGGACTTGCCCGACCAGTATATCTGAGAATATACAAATTTAAAAAGGCTGCGCCTTTTCTCTTTTTGCAAAAGAGACTTTATTAATGACCTGTCTAGTTAAAAAGGATGAGATAGCTTAAGCTCAAAAATGCATTAATACCCAAAGGGGTGGGGGGAATGCTCACACTAAGGAAGAAGAGAGATGGTGATAAATTTTTTAAACCCGGCTTTTTTAGAGGGAGAAAAAAAATTAAACCATGAAACACTTTACACAAGTAATGCATTTAAGGACTAATTACACAATTACTCCATCTTGCATGTTGGAACTGAGGGAGATGGAAGAGATCTAAAAGACGGGCAAAGGAAGGAGGGAGAAACCGCAAGATGAATAAAGGTAACGTTTTGTTTTATCAGCTAGTTTTTGCTTTGCTAACCTGCTTGGTCGGGTAGGGGTTAAAACTTCCATGCAGGGCTGAACTGGGAGTGAGGGGAGATGGTCAGGGAAGGGAAGGGGTGACAGGCCCTTCTTTAGTTTGAATGAACTCTGCTCCTTACCTCCATGCACACACACATATACATCTGCCTCATTGCATTTTGCACCAGTGCGGGGAATTCTGCCCCAGTGGGGAGACAGCCCCCCACTGATCTCCAGCTGCCTCAATCCTTTGAGAGGTAGCATCCCTTAAAGGCCTCCAGGAAAGGGAGACCTCAGAGCCCATTTGGTCACCTGAAAGGGCAATGCCCTTTACGGCAACCCCCCCACACCTAGTCCTCTCCATAAGAGAGGAGTAGAAGTGGTAACCCAACCCATCTGAAAGATACGAGGTGCAGGAAGATTGCCTTAAGGTATGGGCAGCCACACGCCACCAACCGGGCCAGCCCTCCCTACTAGGTGCACTAAGGCAATCAGCTCAGGTGGCAGGCATCGGAGGGCAGCTGTGGCAGTCAACCTGCCATTCCTCACAAATTCCCAAACTGTCACGTCCCCCCCACCCCAATCAGAGGAAAAAATGATGTATAGCACACCACTATGCTCCTGGACCTAGGGATCATTAAAGTGCATCCATTTGGCTTTCTCCCCATTCTTCTCTCTTTTTTTTAAAATGGAATTGGTATTTGCAAAAGTTTGCAAATTTGTCATATTGAGACGAAACTCTCTCCCAACTCTTATCTGTGCCCCCACCCAATTAGTCTGATGAAGCAAGACTTAGCTACCAGCAGTTCTGGCCACTTCAGTACATGGACTGGTAAAGCAGGGTGGTGGGGGTGTAATTTTGTCCTCTGCCTCAGGCAGTAGATCAGCCTCGTGCAAAGGCATTGCTAAGAAGTGCAATTGTTTCACACTGCTCTGTGTTTGGAATTTCTTGGCAAGGATTACATCCTGCGTTGTTGTTTCATTTTGTTGTGTTTCGTTGTGTTCCTTCCTACCTGGCAGAGCGAAAGTGGTCCGAGTGGCAACGTTGATCTCCTGAAGGAGCTCCAGAGTCTCTGTGTGGAAGAGGCGGATGGAGGAACCCAAAGAAAAGGCCATCCAGACCCCACTGCCGGCTTTGATCATGTGCGTGATGCTAGCTTCCTCTTCAGGATGGGCCTCAAAGGTTTGCTGCAGGGGGAGAAAAAGGAAAGGAAGGGTGGAACAATGGAAGAAACAAGTCCTTGAAGAAGGCAAGGAGAAGATCTAGATCTCCTGAGGTTTCTGTCTTCACCAGGAGCAGGGGCTTTGTAAAGTTAATGGCTTTTGATAGGCCATAAAAGTCAAAACCATCCCAAAGACTTTGTTTTATGAGAGATTAAACTACAAAAAAAATATTATTTGTAAAAACATTCATCCCTCTTCCTTCCAACCCACCCACCAGAGGGAGCAGAGATGCCTGAAGGGGGCCAGCTAGCACCATCATCCTTTCAATTGACAAAAATGCTGCCTCTTGAGCCTTGTGAGAGCTGGGGGGTAATTTAAGATTCAGCAATAGCTTAGAAGGTTGAAGGTCACAGATCCCTTTGGGTGCTAATATGTTTAAATTTACTCCAAATAATCAAACTTAATTTAAATCTCTCATACTGATTTCTGAAGATGTTCATTTGGGAAAATTGCTCTTTCGAGATGAACAGTAACAAACTCCCCAACCTTATGTTTTAAGGGAAAGAAAATTTGTTTAAATGACAATCCAGATGAGGACAAGACAAACGCTGTTTCCACAAACGAAAATCCACAGCAGGAGATCTTGCCAAGAAATTAAGACAAGCAGACCCATGGGGGATTACCATTTTGTTTTTATTAACAATATTTATACCACGGGTTTTGCACAGTATGGTCGACAAAATGGGAAACATAAATATATGAAATACAAGTGCAGATAAAGAATAAATGAACGCTCAAGATGCACGAGAAAATAACTTAATCCAAGCAGCAGCAACAGCTAATTAAACAGCACCAGAAGGTCCCTCAAGCTACTTCTCTCATTAAAAGTTTTCTCAAGTAAAACAGGTTTAACTCGGCACCAAAATGAATAGATAGCAGGGCAAGGGTGGTGGTGGGAGTCAAGCAAGTGCCTCTCTTACAGCTATTTTGCAGCCTGAATGCCCCTCGCAGAGGCGAGGCGGTCCGATCATCACCCACCAAGCTTTCTTGCTGGTCTAAGGGAAGGACTTCAGTCAAGTTGGGGCCCAGTTAGGCTTTTTTAGGTCAACGTGGAGTTGTGTCACGAGGAAGGTAGGCCATTTCTGCTCTTTCAGAACCTCTTTGGGCTTGGCATCAGCCCATTCTGGCAAAACCAGAAGTGACTAGAAAGCTTCTTCTGTTGAAAATCCCACTTCTGGGTTTATTTTGACTTTTAAGCTCTGTGTGTGTTGTTTTTAAAGCAAGATGTGGGAAATACCTCTTGTGGAACATTGCAACCCTTGGGGGCTGCGGAATGTGCCATTCTCCCATGTTTTTACCAGACACTATTAGGAGTGGATGATGGGGGGAGCAAGACTGGGAAAAAATGATCGTTAGTACTCTCTTTTCATTTCCAGACCAACTGCCGATATTAAAGAGATGGGAGATGATGGCTTCCATTTGGTGAATCAGCTTCCCTAAGTCTGTTCATCACTGCAGGGTTGGGTTTTGGACTACATCTCCCAGACTCCACCACCATCACCCCACCAACCAGCACATTGGCTGGGACTGAAATCTGGAATTTACTATCCAAAAGAAGCAGCAGAAGCAACTCTGCGTCCACTGAGACCTGCCCCTTTCAGAGAACACAGATCCATGGACATTGGCCAGACTCAGCTTCTTTTGTTCTTTCCTTCCTGCTATGAAGAAACCTGGAAGTGGGGACAGAAGGCATTGAGGAGGTTGGCCACCGCCTCCACCGCCACCCCATTTTGTTCTGAAATTAAGGCCACAACAAGAACCCCGATGCCCCGGCTGTCAGAGTCTCTCCCCCCCCATCCCTGCTTCCTTCAGATTCTGAGTAGCAAATCTATGCGTCTCCCCTCTGGGCTTTTTAAAAGAAAAGGTTTCACTCGACTTGCTGTCGATTCCACCTTGCCAGCGGAAGGAAAGCAGGGAAATAGTTGGACTGCAGTGATGGCTTCTCAAAGATGCAATTACCTAGGAACTTAATTCCCTGGCCTGTTGGGTTTTGCTTATTTTCTCTTCAGGCCTTTTAGCAGGTCCTTCTCGGGCTCAGCACTGGAACCTCTTGTTTTGATTCCTCCTCCTCCACCACCCTTTCTTTTTCCTTAATAAGAGATCAGCCAAAAACACAGAAGAAGCTGTATCGATGCCATGAGTGTTCCTCAGCCTTTCTGACCCGGGGTGGGCATGCCAAAGAAGAGGAGGCGGCTGTGCCCATCCGCTGCCACCAAAGCAAGCCAGAGTCCTGTGGCACTTCAACGTTGTCTCAGGCACCAGCCTTCGTGGACCACAGCTTCCTTCATCTGAGGCCACCAGGATGTCCACAGGGGGTTGCAGGAAAGTAAACCATTTCAAGGTGTCACAAGACACTTTGGGTACTTCAGCCTCAGCCAAGTTTAAAAAAAAGTGTGCATGTGCACAGAAGACAGAGAGGGAGGGAGAGAGAAGTGACCTCCTGAGATCACCAGTAAGAGAGTCAAGTGCAGGTGGTCAGGGGAGGTCCCTGTAACTCAAGTGGAAGAAACCCCTTCACGTTACGTTGAAGGGCCCGAGTTCAATCCCCAGCATTTCCGGACTGGGCTGAGAAAGACACAGACACGACTCGAAGTGCTAGAGGTGGCCAGCTCAGGACACGCCCAGGGTCTCACTCAGAACGTGAAAAATAAAAGAAGGCCCACGTATTGGTGCATTGCATCTCAGCCTCCAGAGATTCTGGCCTTGAGCCAAAGGGACCAACCCTGCAAGCCATGTTTCCTCCGGTGTCCCTCCCAAGGACACACGGACAGGGCCACTTAGCCTGAGCCCGGTTCTGCCCAGTCTAGAACTTGGAGGCCAAGGGTGGCCATGGCGACTGGTCTCAAAGGCTCTCTGTATTGCATCCCATGCCCTGGGGCAGAGTGGGACCCTCTCACCACCTGTTGGGCGAAGGTGTGATGAAGAGGGGACGATGCAGGATGTGGCCGACCTCCTGTCCTGCTGGCAGGTTTCCCACAGGCATCTGGGGAGCCACTGTGGAAACAGGCAGCGAGACTTCTCCATGCCTTCCATCGGATTCAGACTCCAGGCCTATTATTCTGTTCACATCTGCACCCAGCCAGACTGCCTGCCCTTGCATCCTCCTTAAGAAATGTACAATAATTCAGCACAATACGCTTTTGTTCTCCCACACAGATTTTTCTATCTAAATTTTCAAAGAGATCTATTTGTACCAAGGGATGCTCTCTTACAGTATTGTCTCGGTAGCCAGAAGCTTAATTCTACAGATCTAATTAATAAGTCAAATGTTTTGTTTCTTACTCAATTCCTACCAACATATATTTCTGTGAAGAAAACAAGAGCAACGGGAAGGGGAAGGGGAAAGGACAGAATGGAAAGGAAAAGCTTGGAATAGGTGTGTGTTTCCTGTTGCATCTTTCTTGCCAACCATCATCTCCTTTTCCATCTCTCTTTCTTATCAAAACCATTCATCTTCCACTGCACTCCAACTTTCCAACAACTCACTTTGTAGGATTGCTGGGGAAGTGGAAGGAGGAAACACTCTTATCTGGAAGCCCAGACAGGAAACAGGGGCAACGTGTTTCTACCACTTCATTTTCCAAGCGGTGGGCAGCTTTTTTTCCAAAAAGTTTTAAGGAGGCTATGTTGAACCCACAACAGTTTTCTTAACAAGAGGAAATAAACCTAGGCAGGAGGAAAACCTGCCAGTCCTACTTTCCTTCTGTCTCTTAGACACTCAATACCCTGCACAGAATTTTACATTTTTTTGTGTGTTCCTTTTACTCCCTAAACATATACATTCTATGTGCAAAACATTTGAATTTTCTTACTGCATGATTTAGGTAAATTAACCTCCCTCCCCTGTTTATACATACATACAGAGAGAGAGAGAGAGAGAGAGAGAGAGAGAGAGAACCCGATTGTTCTCACAGAGTTGTTGTTGTGAAACTAAAAGGAGGGGGAAGGACAGCCACCCATGCTATCTTGAGTTCACAGGAGGGGAAATAAATAAATATAACAAAGAAGTAGGTACACATGGTGGGACAGGACAGGCCAGGCTTGAAGATGTGCAACTGGCCTAAAGCCACCAGAGAGTTTTCGCAGCAGAGCAGACGTACAAGGCTCCCACCCTCCAGGGCTCCCCAGCCACTGACTGAAAGCAGGTGCTCCATGGCTTCTTTCTCTCGCTCCCACTCAACCAACTTCCCCAGATCCCTTGGTGTTTCTCTGTTTCTCCTCATGCTCACATGTCAGACTCATGTCCTTTAGCCTAAAAGGCATGTTGGATTTGACAGTACAGGATTACACCCCAAACATCAGCCTTTTCTAGAAAGCAACCATCAGAGTGTAGGGGGTGGAGGAATCTCAGCTTGGAAGATAGATCAACGAGAAACAACCCTCCAGGGTCTTCCTGTGTGGGGGAACCTGCCACCTTTCTCTCTCTCTCTCTAGCTTTGACCTTTCTTCTGCGCATTACAGATTCTCCCTAGAGGGATGAAGAACAGGCCGGCTTGGGAAAAAGAGAAGATTTTATTTGAAACTGGCAACTGGAGGAGCAATGGGTGTTTTGAAGAGCTGCTAGGAGGCAGTGAGAATCAAGGGCACACTCAAGGTTGGCAACCTGGGCAGGGGGAGGCAGGAAAAGAGAGAAAGAAAAGAAAACAAGAGGTCCCACCAGAGCACTTCTCACTTACCCTGCAAGATGCACCAGCGAGATTTTAATCGGTTTGTGGCAGGGTCTTTTGGTGAAGTTCTGTGCTGTGTTTTCCCTAGAAAACGGCTCCCATGGCACTGCTGGAAGGCCGTGTGCCGAAAGGGGCCAGGTGTGGCCCACAAGAAGATTTCACCACTGGAGTCCTTGAGGAACTCTCACTCTCCTGTGAGTCCCTAAGGCCGGCTGGCTGGCTGGCTTCTGCTTCTTCTGCTTCCTTTTCCTCTGAGCATCAGCCATGCCCTCTCATCAACAGAGCCATGGGCTCAAG